TCTCCTTTTCAGCTTGTATTAATTTTATTAATGTTATGCTGTATGTTAGCATGTACACTCCTCCCTTATAGTTGAGACAATGCCTTTAAGGGGCTCTTCTAGTAGGTTTACTAATGCATTTTTATTTTTTTCTGAAAGCATGCCAACTTCTTTCTAGCATGCTTCCTCCTTTCATAACCACAGTTTTACTGATAAGCTTGGATTGGAGGTGCAATTTCTTTTTCCTGTTTAGTGTCTTAAAAAGATGTGCAAAGTAAATTCTGCTCCAAGAGGAAAGTTCAGCAGTGATGTGAGAGATGGAGGAAATTTTCTCAAGGTCAGTCTAAAGTCAGCCTCAGAGAACTTTCCACTTTTGAAAAATGTGCTTAGGCTAAGTTGTGATAGTTAAGAGAAATTTTCTTGAGATATGTATGTAGATATCATTGTAATGTTGCTTCTTAAAAAAACATTGTCATATATACATCCAAAAAATTACATCTAAAGCAGAGTTTTCTTTCTCATCTTGGCTGTTTTCTGCAGGGTTTTCATGTATTCTCTGCTTATTTAAAGCATATAGAGGATTGAGTCCTCCTGATAGCTTAACCAGTAGTCTCAAAATCTACCAACTCGCTTAAGTCAGTGAAGGATTGTCTGCTTCTTGAAATAAGATGCTAACACCTGATTTAGCTGTGAGGCCTCCCATTCTTATGTTGTATCACTCTTGTTTACTCTGCTAGAGTAATTTAAGTGGGTTGTAGTATTTTCCCTTTAAATAACATTCAACTATTTGAATGAAAAATTTTATTTATTTTTTAAATATGATTCCCTTGCTCCCTTACTTCATCAGTATTTTCATCTTCTTCAACTGCAGATTTGGGCATGGGGGAATGCTCAAACCATGCAAAATATTGCCTCCTATATTTTAGTGCAATAGAAATGTGTTGTAGGAAAGCAGGCAATTTTCTCATCTAGAATTAGACTCTATCAGGGTCCATTTCAAAGTGCCTGACAGCCACAGTTCTTGCTCTATTACTTTAGCTGGACTTTTGATTAAGCCAGCAAATGCATATCTTCAGAGTCATCTAAGCATTTAATATTTTTTGGATGTTTAATTACAAAAATTCAAAAGGAGTTTGGATGATTGAGTTCAGACTCTCAAAGGATTTTCTGAATTTATGAACTCCTAAATTAATGTGTGATTTAATCCATACTGGCTACAGCTTAAAAGGCCAATATCTTACTGAAGTGAAGGCCAATGCTTCAAGCTTTTCACTGTTATTGTGACATAAAAGAGATTTAGGGTGGCATCAGTAAAATGTGTACTTAGCATTACAGGGGTTAACCAGTGAAACTGAGTTAGGTACCCATCATTGCTTGGCTGTACCTGGAAGAATTGATTGCCTAAATAAATAAAGTATTAATTGGAGCTGTATTTATTAGTCTGCCCCCTTCTTGTTCAAAGTCTGACAGAGAAGGGGTCAGCATCTTTAAAGTGCCAGTTCTGACTGAGAGCGAAAGATGCAAGCAGCACCTGCCTGTGGTCTCTGAACTGAGAGGGAATTGGGCAAGGCCAACTGGTCATGGGCCTGCCAGGGCAGTGAGCTATGGGGAAGTGGGCACACAGAAGGTAAGGCTATCAAAGCCAGCACTATTATGTGCATTTGCCAAGGAAATGAACCAAAGCTTTCCACAGAATTTTACAAGTGGAATAGCACACTTTTTTATATAAGCATGTATGTGCATATCGATTCCATTTGCTTACATTGGAGGTTGTATAAATGCTGATGCTTGGATGATTCTGAATTTCTTAATACCTGTACACAAAAGACATCCTTATTGTTAGATCAGTGAAGTGGGAATATTATTTTACTTACATGTGCCTGTAAAACAGAGTCTAAAAAATTAAAATTACTCATTTTATGTTTATAATATCATACACAATATGTATACGGAGAACACTATTCATGTTCCAGCTTCAGAATTTTGAACTTTGAAGTTACCTAAAAAATTAGTTCTATTTTCCTGGAGATCTTTCCCAGTGCAAGGGTGAGGGTGAGGGGTAAATAGTACTGGGAAAATAAAATGTACATTAACACATAATTAAACTATATCATGCACACACGTAAAAAATGTTTGCAAAGAACAGGAGATTTTAGATAAAAAGGCTTTCAGATATTTGATTTTTTAATTCTAATGAAATCCTCTTAGATATTTCTCATTAAAATTTTCTGGTTTTCTTTAAAGGGTAAAGATCAAAGAAATTCTTCCATTTGTGAAAGCAAACTTTTCCTATCCAAATGCTTGGGGGAATTTCTGAAGATCCACAAAAGTAGTGATTCAGAAGAGCTAGCAGTAATTTTATCTCTGTGTACCACAGACTATTACATTTCATTTCAATGTTCCTGTATTGAGCCTGGTAACTTGTCTTTGACTGAAGCACAGCTACTTGAAAAACTGCAGACATTGATTTGAAGACATAAAAAAAGGAAAAATTACTCCTTTTTTGTGAAATTTATCCCCCATAATAATCACTTTAGTTTTTGGGATATATCTGTCATTGTTCATAAGCCGAGTTTCTCCGGCTGTGACTCTTATGTATTTGTTCTGGTTACACTTTTCTTTCCAGTCTGAAAGAGCTCTTCAGTCCTTGCTATTTTCTCCTTGTGAAGAACTCCAGACACTCCAATCAAGCCACTTCTCAGTGTTCTTTTTGATCAGCTACCTGTCTTGAGCTCTCCATGTTAAACACAGTAACAATTTTCTCCACTTAATTGACTTATTTTTGCAGTACCTTAAGGTGCGCTTTCCATATTTTCATAGTCTTTTTTTTTTTTTTTTTTTAACTGTGAACCAGGCAACAATTCCAAATTTCAGTATTCAGTGATGTCTTCAGAAGTAAAATCACCATTTTACTACTCCTTTACAGACATTTAAAAGAGATCAGTCCATTTTAGCATAGATTTGTTATCTGAGTGTTCAGTGAGTTTTTCTTCAGTCTTTTAACTCAGCTACATGCGGAATTGCTTTTTCTTTTTTCCCCAGGGGGAAAATTCCTAGTCTGTTAATGTGTCTTGTATTTGTTTTTCCTCACCCTGTATTCTCATATTTCTGTTTCCACAGTGTCTTATGGGCTGTAATATGGCCTACGAGACAAATGACCTCCTCTACTGGAGGACATACTAAGGATGTTGGTTCTAGAGAAACCCATCTCTGACTGGTGGGTTCTTTCCCATCTTTATTCTGCCTTTGATCTTGGAGAATCTCAAATGAATGCAGAGGGAGACTAGAGTAAAGGGTAGAGCACTCATGGCTGTGGAGCACTTTCCCGGGAAGTAAGTACCAAGAATCTTTGCAGTCATGTCAAGCAGTTACTGTAGATTGTTGGCATCTCAGTCGGAAGAGTTTTTACCTTCTTTTCCCATTCAGTTCTTGTTTCTGTGCTTTGAACCAGCAATTCTGCTTTATTTTCTCACTGAATTCTAGTAAGAGTAGCGTAGAAGAATGAACGTTATTTTTCACACTTCATGTTGGTCATTAAATTACATATTGGCCCATATTTTAATTAATATTTGACTTACTGACTAGGCATATTTTGACAGTACTTTGAAGCTCTGCTAGATATAGTTTTTTCAAATTAATTTTGATTTTACATGTCACAGTTTTAAAGGCAAATAGACACATTAGCCAACATGTTCATAAGCTGAACAGATTAGATCTAATATTTCCTTTGTAAATTCATTAATGATGCATAGCAAAATCTAGCTGGATGTGTTTCTATGTGTGTTGAATGTATACCTTTTAGTTTGGGCACACATTCAAATATGACGGTGAAATAATTTTGAGAAGGAAAATCTGTCATTGAATCTTGTAATAAATTGACATGAAATGAGCAAAAGTAACAATACGGTGAAAGGAGGAGAGCATTTTAGAGAGGAGAGTTATGTATATTCCTATGTTAAGAAAGGAAATGAGAGAGGCTGTCCTTCATGGTTTAGGTTAGACATAAGGAAGAACTTTTCTCTCAGAGAGTGGTCAAACATTGGAATGGCTTGCCCAAGGAGGTGGTGGAGTCACCGTCCCTGGCAGTGTTCAAGAGGCGTCTGGATGAGGAGTTACAAGATATGGTTTAGAGGCTTGTGATAGCGATGGTAATGGGAGGACAATTGGACTAGATGATCTTGCAGGTCATTTCCAATCTCGTGATTCTATGAATCTATGATTCATGCTCTGTGTCCACAGCAGAGCTGGCAGCAGTCCTCTTCACTCTGGTACAGAGACTGTGCCCACTGAGTTAGACTATCATACAGAACAAAGCATGGTCCTGTTTAAGATTATATTTCTCTGTGTAGATTAAGGTTCTCACCACATGGAAAAAACAAATGCTCGTTTTGGTGAAATTAAAGGATGCAGAGAAGACATTGCTATTATACCTTTTTTCCATTGAGATATCCTGTTTAAATAGTCATCATCTTGTATTACAAGTCATGGAAGAGGAGACAGGGAAAAGCTGGAGATAAAGGAGGAGAAATTGGAAATGTGGGAGAAAAGAAGAGAAATTGCTAGGACTTGTACAAGATGGCAGTCTGGCCCAGCAAATGTGACTATTAACAGGGATTCCTACGTCCATGAAATATCTATTGCTAAAACAAAACAAATCTAGTAAATTTGTAAATACTGATAGTTAGCAATAAGAAAAGGAAACACAAATCAATTTTGTCACTTGCAAATGTAACAGTGATATTACTTGTAGATGTATTTGAGAAGAGATAGCATGGAAATAATCATTTGGATAATTAGATTAAATTTATTCGTTATCTGGTTTTACCCGTACTGGATAGCTGCAACTGACCATGCAGGTTGAGGAACTGAATGAAAGGTGTTTACTGTTAATTCAAGGGACCTGAATATGTAAACTTCTGTCACAAATTAGGAATGATAGCAAAAAAATAACAACTGCAGATTGAAAAACTTACATATTTGAATGTACTCAGTCGTATAAGCCTTACTTTTTTGTCTTTCAGATATACAAAGATGAAGACAGCAACCAACATCTACATTTTCAATCTGGCTATGGCAGATGCGCTAGTTACTACGACTATGCCTTTCCAAAGCACAGAGTACCTGATGAACTCTTGGCCATTTGGGGATGTGCTGTGTAAAATAGTTATTTCAATCGACTATTATAACATGTTTACCAGCATATTCACACTGACCATGATGAGCGTTGATCGATACATTGCTGTATGTCACCCTGTGAAGGCTCTGGACTTCCGTACTCCTCTCAAGGCAAAGATAATCAACATCTGTATCTGGCTGTTGTCCTCATCTGTTGGCATATCTGCCATAGTTCTTGGAGGTACCAAAGTCAGGGAAGGTGAGTGTGAGCATTCAAAACAGAGACTTTATTTTATTTGAATGATGTAAAACGTTCCTTGGAATATTGACTAAACCTGATTGATTTTGACTTTGGTAATTTGTGCATACTTTACACATAGAAGATCATCCACATTCCTTGTTTCAAAAAGTGTGCCTAAATTTTTGACGTTTTGAAATATGGCATATAAAGAATTTAAGCTCAGATATCCTTGCCAACTTAAAGAACCAAATGCACTTTGAAGCACTATTTGTGTGAGACTGATACCATAAGAAAATAACAACGGACAGCAGGGGGAAGTAGTCAGGAATTTGAACATGGCTGAAAATTCAAAGACCAGATGAAACTTGAAATGTAGGCTGAGAGTTCTTTCTGTAAGCATTGTGAGAGTAGTTCTGATGAAGTTTCAAGAGCAGAAACTAGTTTGCTTCTCATTAGCATTACTATTAAAGCTTGGGAACTTTTTGTCAGCAACCATTTCACAGAACTTAAAGATTTGGTGAAAAAAGGAAGGAAGACAGTAGCTGGAGAGAAAAAAAGGTAAGCTAAATGCTAAGAAAATGACAGTGTCAGAAATTCTTATTTAAAAAGGAATAGGGCATGTATGTAGACTTGGAAAGGCTGAGAAGTATCAGCAAAAGAACCAGGAGTACAAAGCATGGCAGGGAAGCAACTACAAGAACATAAATTCAATGAATCTGTCCATGGAGTGCTTATAGGTTCTATTGAAATTTATAATCTGTGAAGGACCACAGATTTAGCCCCTATATCCAGTGACTCTTTACTAAATCTGTTCTGCTAGGGAGTTAATCTTATTCTGAAATCCTTGAAAAGGAAAGGGGAGATATATACCTCATAGCGACATGTATAGCAGCAATGTGGGTACAACATTGTGTCTTCAAAAAGTTCAAAACCTCTAATGTATGTCCTGGTGTTGAGGACATCCTGTTACGGATGGCTCTATGAAATACAAGGCATACATATTTATTTGGTAGTAGTGTTGTCTGGAATGTTACTTATCTTTTGACAAATGACTAACAAACTGCTGATTTAGTTGCCTGTTCTAGTAGAAAGTTTTCACTCCTCCCAGGAGAACTGGTAAACTTTGTATAAAGGCACAGTTTTATCTGGGAGTGAAAATAAATGCAGTGTGTTTAACTCTTTGGCATAGATCAGTGCAAATAAAACAATGATGTTCATTAATAAAACAGCTGCTCAAGGGCTGTTTTATTTGATTGAGGATATTCAAATTCTTTTTTTTCTGTTGGTCTTGCAGCGGGTATGTGAGAGGAGAGTGTCTCTGGAAACGTCTTTCAGATATTTGGGAGTTCCAGTCTCCCAATTTGCAGTGCTGTAATTCTTCTTTCCTACCAAGTTCTTACAGGCTCTATGAAGCCATGTGCAGCTCAGGAAAAAAACACTTCAGAACATCTCCATGTGAGAAGAATTTTTGTCTGTCTACTTAAGAAATTCTGAAGGTTATAAAACATTGGCCAAGTGGTTTGTTTGAAGCATGCTTAACTACCAGAATGTTCTTTTCATTTACTGTAGTCACCACATTTAGATCAAGGGGCTGCTCTGAGGCCAGAAACAATTAAATGCCTTTTTCACACCTCGTGGCAGGTAGATATTTTTTCCTCCTGAAACAGCTATTAGAAATACAGCTGTGTCAAATGAGGTTGGAAATCATTGGTAAATGTTTGTCACTCCCTACTATTCAGCCCTGCTTGTCTGATCTACAGTGCCTCTTAGGCATTTACTACCACTTATCTTTTCTGGTGTGTTCATGAATTGCACTGTGGCGAAGGGGAAAATGCTAGGATCCTCCTGACAGCTAGAGCTCAGGACAGAAATTTTATTTTACATTGGTGACAATAGTTGCTGTTTACATACAGGACCTCTGTTGGGTTTGGATTTAAATAGCTGAACATCAAACAGAAACTGACTGTATTTAAAGCTACAAACCCATGCTCAATTAGTCCTTTTTACTCTCACAGTGCAGGATTTCTCCCTGGAGTGTCCTTCCAGATGCATTTCCTTATATCTGTATAAATTTTCCCTCTCTGGACTTAATGGAGCCTTTATTGCTGAAGAAGCATTTGCTTTAGAAAAGAAAAGGCTCCAATTTGATAACTCAGTTGAGTAGAGAGAAGTATGAAGGCGGGATGTAACAAAGACATCTAACAGAAAAAGGTATCCTGTACAAGGATTGAGATGAATCTTAAGTGGTAGCTTATCAAACATTTTTTATATCTTTATACAAATGTACCATCTGAAGTTAAATATGTTGATATATTGGAATAGCTGGCTTTAGAGTGGGACAAGACACCAAAATCTTAAATGCTCATTTTGTGACACTGTACTCTACTTAGTTCTGAACTTCTTCAGGCAAAAAGTAGCCCAAAAGAATCCTGGATTTTATTCTTTCCCCCAATACCTGAATATGATTGTGATATTGTGTGTCTCTGACAGGGATATTTGTTGGCCATTGATGTCAACCATGAAAAAGTAAATGGATTCTGTATGGCATCCATGTCATAGGGAAAGACATTATGAATTTAGGATAATAAGTAAATTGTTATGACATCTAGAACAGCTATTACATTTATATTCAATAATTTGGGCTCCTGAAATATCATCGTCATTTACAAAATTATATAAAGTGTAGCAAGCATGACTTGGTCTAGTTTGTGGTAGCAATGGTAATGAGAAGGAGGAGATGGTTGGACTAGATGATCTTACAGGTCATTTCCAACCTTGCGATTCTGTGATTCTATGACTGTATTTAATGGTCATGGACCTGCAGATTTTTTTTTCTGTGAAGGAGATAAAGCATTTCTTTTGAGAATTTGGATTTTGTGTTGAGGGATATGGTTTAGTGAGAACTATTGGTGATAGGTGGATGGTTGGAGTGGATGATCTTGTAGGTCTTTTCCAACCTTGGTGTTTCCGTGACTCTGTGATTCTGCAAATATTCTTATTAAAAAAGCTTCCAGATTTAAAACTGAATCAAGTATACTAATGCTTCTTCCTTTTTTTTTTAACCTTCTCATAGTATACTTATGCCTATATTTTATTTTTATTTTTGTATGTATTCAATTTAATATTATTATATTCATATTTTAGTACTATTATTATATTATATTTAATATTAATATATTTGTACTTATTTAATATATTATTATATCAGTACTTATTTTAATATTAAAATATTTGTTTATATTTATTATATAATTACTTACACATTTTTATCTCAGTAATTAAGTGCAGTTTAAATATCTTTCAATATAAAATTAAAAGATTTATTTAAATGAAAAGCAATGTCAAAATTATCTGTTCTAATTTGCAGAATGTGAAACATTGTAAACCTTTTTTTTTTCCAGATGGTTTTGATTAGGATGGAATAATGTTGTCACAGTAACATTTCTGAGTCATTTCTGTTTTTTCCTTTTCTATTACTGGAAGGGCTGCCTGCATTCTGAGCTCTTTGCTGGGGAATGGTGGCTGGGCTATACTTGCTCTTCCACCTGCATCCGAAGGTTCCAGGCTTTCATCATGACTCCGGATGTTCAGCAAAACCTACCCTCTCAGAAGTGGCAGCAAAACACATGGATTCCTGTGGCTTTCTCAGGAAGATTTGATTGGAATAAGCATTTTAATCAGCAGGAGCTTTTTTCTAACCTAATAATTTAAATAAATCCCTGAAATTAGCTCAGTAGATGTGAAGAGGGAGAGAGTTCCAGTGAGTGAATGGATGCGGCGTAGAGCAGTCATCCCTGATCAATCACAGCTCACATTTATCTCAGCTGCACATCCAGCTGCAGCTTACTGGTCTAGCTGTTGTACCTGCATCCTGGTTTGATTGCTGCTGCTAGGCTGTGGTCTACTACAAATAGCAGTAGCAATCAATGTGGAAATTTCCTTGAAGATCATTATTAAAGTTTCTAGAATAAAATTTCAGAAGAGCAGCTTACTTTATCAACATGTAATCACAGAGGATTTAGAGAAGTTGATTGAAAGTTGCAGGCCTATGACATTATAATTGTGTTGTCAGTTTATCATCCTGCATCAGTCTTGAAAGATGTCTTTTCACTTTTCAGCTTTCAGAATCATCCATTAACTATTATATTCTCTGAAACAAAATTTCAAAATATTTACCTTCATTTTCAACTTTTTATTTGTTGTTTTAGAATTTAACTAATCCAGTGACACCTTTCTGGACATGTCTGATACCATAAGGATAACTTCACACACAAGCACACACATACACAGCCCTTCTATCACCAACAACATCAGCTTGGTTTGTGGAGCATTTTGATAGCAAGGAAATACAGTTTGATGGTTTTTTTTCTGACTAGTTCTTCCGGAGACATATAATGCGAGAGTGTATTGAAGCTGTCCACCCTTAGGTCTGATTCAACATAGCCAGTAGATACCAATTTGCAGAGGAATGATGAATTTCCTAGGGGAAAAACAAAACAAAAGCAAACCAAAGAATAATGCAGATTCTGAGAGGAGAAAATATAAGATACAATTCAGAGTGAAATATCCCTGTGTTACCTTGACTTGTCTTTGTGAAGTTTAACTGCTGATAGTAGTTATGGATTTACCCCTTGCCTTGCTTTGCTATTTATCTTATCTCTTGTTTTACTATGTGGTTTATATGCTGGAAAGCAGCCATGAGGTCAGCAAATGAAACCTCAAATATTTCACACCTTAGCAGCCTCCTGTCAGATGGAATATTTCTGGGACATACAATAATGTGACAGCTCGTGACTTTGAATCCTGGCATGGGCAAGGAGAAAGAGAGTGGGATGGCAGTGGTGGTTCAGATCCCACGGTTGCTGCACAGTCTGAATTTTCAGGATGTGATCTGCAAAAAGAGCAGCTTCCATTTGACTCTGCACACACACTTATTTTGTTTGCTTCTATGTGACTGAAAAGAATCTGTTGCCAGGAAATAATTTTTCTGAATGCAAGCATTTCCATGTATTCAATTTACTCTGAAGAAGACACATGGGAAAAGATTACTACACAATTATCGCACACTGGCAAAATCTTCCTACAATCAAAAGCTCATTGCACTGCCACCATTCATAATATGAAAAATATTCCTCCTTACACAGACAAAATCTTGTATAGTTTGATAATAATTATGAGTTTTCCACTCCATTAAACCTGGTACTCTTCCTACCTTTAAATCTCAGTGAGATTCAAATGGAAAAAGAATGTTCAGCCTATTTTATAAACTTTTATTTTTCTGCCTGTGTTTTTAGCTTCTCCTGTGGGAAATGACATTTATACAATATTATGCATTTAAAAAAACCCATCTCTGTGTAAGTAATTTCCAGAGAAAGCTGTGTAAAACCAATTTCAGTGGTACTGTAAAGCTTTTCATTGAGTGATTTAATGATAACTTCATTTATTATTATCACAATACAAGATAATCGCTTTCTCTAGCTTACACCATGATAATTATATTATTTAGAGTATCTAATAATAAAGCAATTTTCTTTTTCTTGCTTCTTTCTTTCCTAGATACTGCTAGCACTGAATGCTCCTTGCAGTTCCCAGACAGAGACTATGTGTGGTGGGACATCTTCATGAAAATCTGTGTCTTTGTCTTTGCATTTGTTATTCCAGTACTCATTATAATTGTTTGCTATACCTTGATGATCCTGCGCCTTAAAAGTGTACGACTTCTCTCAGGGTCTCGAGAAAAAGATCGAAACCTGCGCCGCATCACCAGGTTGGTTCTTGTGGTTGTGGCAGTTTTTATCATCTGTTGGACTCCTATCCACATTTTTGTGCTGGTTGAGGCACTGGGGGATGTGTCCCACAGTACTGCTGCTGTATCCAGCTATTATTTCTGCATTGCTTTGGGGTACACCAACAGCAGCCTCAATCCTATCCTTTATGCCTTTTTGGATGAAAACTTCAAGAGGTGTTTCAAAGACTTCTGCTTCCCCTTTAAGATGAGGATGGACAGGCAGAGTACCAGCAGAGTTCGAAACACCGTGCAAGACCCAGCTTATAGGAGGGAAGCAGATGGGACAAACAAACCTGTATGACTAGTCGTGGAAATGTCGTCTTACTGTCCGCAAGAGAGAGAAGAGTCCAACGATCTTGGACTGACACAGATTACGACTGCAGTTTGAACTAGACTCAGTCAGACAGACATTTCTTGAATATTTAACAAGTCCTAGTAGATTGAACCAAGTCAATTACTGACACACAAGGACATTTTGAAAATGAGTTCAAATGTAGAGGACCTGATTTTGGCACCATAATTACTATAGTTGAGCTGGTGCTATTACACATTTCTTGGGAAAGAGGAGAAGCTTATTATTGTGCTAGAAAAAGAACTTTCTGGGTTTTCTCTTTACACTGTAAGATTATCTTAAGTGACATTAAGTTATAACGCTAAGTTATGCCAAAAGCATAGATTTGCTCAAATATTGATTGCTTCTGAAGTATACAGGTTGACAACATGATTTGTCATGCTCTTTTACAGTGAAGAGTATTATTTATGCTTCAGCAGAACACTACCAGAACTAAAATAACAATTCCCCTCAACTAATGTATTTGTAACATTTGTCTGTTCTGTGAAAATATAGCTTCAGCATGAACTGCCTACATATCAAAATGACTTTATTGTGTCTGTGTAAAGCATTGCGATGTTTAAAAATACTGGGACTTAAGGAAAATTGTTAGTGTATCTTTTGCACGTGATTAATCACCTGTATGTAAAGTTTTCTGTGTGGTTTTACAAGATGTTTGTATACTTCCGAGTATGGATAATATAATATTCATTTTCAGAGTGTATTTTCATCAAGAGACTAGAAAACTTCACATTCGTCACTTGTTACAAGTCTGATGAAAAACTGTGCCACATTCTTTATATGGGAATAAATAGTTTAATTCCCCCCCATTTTCAGTAAAGGGAACATACATAAAAATAGTGCTGTTCTCATTTTCCTGAAAAATTTGTTAGCAGACTCAAAATAAATATTCAAACAGCTGTTGATGGAATCTAGTGAATTAGCAAATGGATTAACTGGATTGATACAAAGGAAATGAAGACTAAATATATTGTCTGGTTTCTCATAGAGTCATAGAATCATTTGAGTTTGAAAGGTCCCTTACAGGTCATCTAGTCCAACTCCCCTTCAGTGAACAGGGACATCTACAGCTAGAACAGGTTGCTCAGAGCCCTGTCCAGCCTGACCTTGAGTATCTCCAGACACGGGCACATTCACATCTCTGGACAACCTGTTCCAATGCCTCACTACTCTTACTGTGACAAACTTCTTTTTAGATAGCCAATCTAAATCTCCCCTCCATTAGTTTGAAACCATTTCTCCTCATCTTGTCCTATCACAACAGGCCCCACTAAAGAGTCTGCCCCCTTCCTTCTTACAGCTCCTCTTTAGATACTGAAAGGCCGCTATCAGGTCTCCCCAGAGCCTTCTCTTCTCCAGGTTGAACAGCCCCAGCTCTCTCAGACTGTCCTCGTAGGAGAAGTGTTCCATCCCTTGGATCATTTGTGTGGCCCTCCTCTGGATGCACTCCAACAGGTCTTTGTCTCTCCTGTATGAGGACTCCACATCTGGACACAGTACTCCAGGTGAGGTCTCATGAGCACAGAGCAGAGGGGCAGGAACTCCTCCCTCATCCTATTCGCCATGCTTCTTTTGATGCAGACCATGCTTCTTCTGATGGTTCCCATTTTTTTTAAATAATTACATATTTTCTTTGATGCAGTCCTATGAATTCAGTATAAGCATTTGTTTTCCTATGAAGATGGAAAAGCTAAAGCACAACAACGCTAATTATCAACCTGCTGAAGGTAAACCTGAGGCAAAACTGAACCTAAATTTCAACTTGTAGTTTTTCATCTTAGCCACCAGATATCTTTCTGGTACCTTTAGTCCTTACATAAAATCATTTTTGGTGTGGGTGTCCTCACTACATAGCAAATTTTCTGAGAAACACAGACTGATTTGGTCCTACTGGAGCAACCAACAAAAAATCCTTTTTGCACACAGGTATAAATAATGAAATTTGTTCATTATTTATAAGCTGGCAGTATAGTGGAAATTTAATCCTCTGGATAACTTCATCATCTTTTACTAATAATTCAGTCACATATGTAAAATATTTTTATTATCAAGCAGATAAGTGTAGTGCTTCTACTTTGCCAGACCAATGCTGAACAATCACTGGTGTCGACAGCCCTCCCGTGCTGCTGCCCTGGGAAGCAGAGGCTTGAAATTCTGGCTTTGGAGTTTAGTACTTGGGAACTAACTGCACTCATGCAATTATCTTTGTTAACAAAAATAGTGAAGATAATTATTTTTCGACAAGTCTAGCACTTCATGACATGTATGCATAATAAGTGAATAGCTGACCTCAGGATACTTGATTTGCCCAAGGAAATGAATGATGCTCACAAATCTGATTGTATAACTCTATCTTCCTACTATATCTCCATCTTTTTTTTTTTTTTTAATTTAATTTAATTTTTGTATATTTCTCTGCAACATATGTACACAATAATAAATAAAGTTCTGACCTTTAAATAGTTGCAAAAAAAAAAAAAAAAAAAAAAAAAAAAAGAATGCTTGGAGTAAAAATTGACAGTCAGGTATTTATCAGATTACCAGTAAATGTACTGTGAAAGAACTAGGGCTTAATGAATTATTTGCATAATATTTTATCATTGTGCTGCATGCGTATATCTGTATTACAATAGAATCATTGCTCTGCACATCACGTACCTGAATTGCAATGAAAAATCAGTGTTCTTAACGTGTAAGAAAGGAACATTCTAATTGTTGATTTTTTTATGAGTATGTTTTGCGTAATAAGAGCATCTTCCCTATAATAGGTGGAGGAAAGAATGAGATCCTAACATCTTTTTTTCTGTGTTACGGATATACAAGGCTTTAACAGCTATATGATCTGTGTTCTAAAGATTTCTTTCCATGGAAGATTAACAGTCAGATTAGTCCAGATGTAGCTGAAGGGAATCTTGGAGGATTTATTTAAAATTAGGTGCTGTTCATTGAATAGGGAGGGAAAGTTACCCAAGGTTTCTTCCTTTCTTTTTTTCTTAATAGATACAGTTGATGAGATTAAAGATATAATAAATAGAATAATATTATGGTTTTGCTCACTGGACCTGTTTCCAGATGATTAAATTCCCATTTTTCATTCAGCAGTTCTCAGACTGGAATGACCAACTGACTAAACCAATTATTCTCACAGTGACATGCATGCTGACTTTGAAAACCTGCACTGAAGCCTTGTAAAATACCTTAATTTCTGTGTAATTCTGGATGAATGTTTTGCCTTCACTGTTGTGTAGTCTCCTACTTCCAGCCCTTGTTTTGGGCAAGGGACAGAGCAGTGGGGATGGGCTGTGCTGCCCCACAGCTCCTGGAGAAAGACAACATGGGGTAGATGTGTGCAGGCTGCCCGGCAATCAGCCTTTCCCACTGCAGCTGGCCTCGACTCTCTTCCTTAACAGGTTCCAAAAATTTGGTGTTGCAGATGTATAGTACAAGGTCATTTGAGCTTTTAGTGGGGTCATCTCCCTGTTGTCTGGAGGGAGTGTTAGGGAATCACCTTCTCTATTCCCTGATTCTTTCAATTCCAAAATCTCCTACATGAGAAATAGTATTCTTGTTCAGTGCTTTTGTCAGTGCTTTAGAAAGCACAACAGAAGAGCATTACTGCTCAGTTACTGAATCTTGCAGACCAAGTGTCTTCTCCATAATCTCAGACTTCTGCTGTGTGGAGGTACAGGATTAATTAGAGAATGGAGGGCTGTTTCATGTCTCTTTCCACTGCATATTTAACTAACTGCTTTGCACTTGCCATTAGACAAACCCTATGGTTAATTTTGTCTATCTTTTAATGTAGATTGAAAAGGTGTTAAAAATAACTGGAATTCTGACTCAAATGTCTCTAAACCTGGGGATTTAACTGAGTCCATGGATATTGGTGTATTAGAGTTGCACCTCAAGGAAAAACAGTGGTTTTATTCTATTATTTATTTAAGCTGGGAAAAATCCCAGTAAAATCCTTGTGTGTCAAATGTCCTTCACTTTTCTTATCTTCTACACACTGAAAATATCTCTGTTCAAATATGAAAGCTATTGCCTAGGTTTGACATTACCCTCTAAAAACCAAGCTGGTCACAAGGTTTTCCCTCAGCTACAGCTCAGTAATGCATTTTTGATTATGATACAAGATTATATTACATCAGCTTTTTTGTTTGTTTTGTTTTGTTTAATGGCAGTCATGGTTTACTCATAATCAAGTGAAAAAACACAGAAAGAGAGACAAAATATGTAACTAATTTCCAAGAGAGTCTAGAAATTGGAAGAAAGTATGGTTACTGCCATGCAAAGGCAGAAGATCTTACCTACAGTGATGACAACATAAAGGATGGGATGCTTGTCGGCACGAAAAATGATTTTCCATTGCACTTGCACACTTGTGTGTGTGGAAAGCAGTGTTGTTCAGTGTCTCACTACTACATTCTGCATGCATCCAATTGAAAAGAAAAGAAATATTCATCACATGGTTTTCTATCTACATGGATAAATGAAATATTAGAAGAAGATTATGTATCATTACTATAAAACAAATAAAGGAGATGTTCTGATGTTGAATGTGAAGAGAAGCAGATAACACCTCAGGCAGTTTCTGTTCCAGTTTGAGGTGATTAATGCTGAATCTTCTTTTGGATTGCACTTAAACATTTTTGTTTAGCATCTGCCAAAGTATCTAACTTAAGCTGCCACTCACACTGAAAGAGAAGAAATCTTCAGATTTGCATAAATTATGCTCTTTTCCATGTTTTTCTGTGCTGATACCAGATGGAACCAAAAGAGCAAACTTAGCATACTATGAGAATAGCATTATTTCCAGTAGTCTCAGAGAAAATGTTGTGATCTGTGTTGTTCACTGTCATAAATGTAAAAGAATTGACTGTTAAGTGTCCTAGAGGAAAAAGGTTGTCATACAATCTATGTCCCAAGGGTCAAAGAAAAGCTTTCAGAAATGCTCATGCAATGATGTATACAGCTTCTAGTAGGCCTTGCATATCTTGTTTCATTCTTGCCTTTAAATAACTCTTCCCTGTAGTGATGTAGCACTTTAT